AGGCTGAGGCAGGAGGATTGCTTGAGCCCAGGAGTTTGAGGTTGCTGTGAGCTAGGCTGATGCCATGGTACTCTAGCCCAGGGAACAGAGTGAGACTCTGTCTCAAAAAAAAAAAAAAAAAAGGATAAACTAAAGTCTATGTTTCAGTTGTTTTTGTAACTATCATTTTAAAGGTGCACATTCTAAATTTATCTTTATTTTTCACTTACTCTGTTCCATTTACCTTGAAAGTAAAAATGTTTTACCAAAATCTTGCAGCTATCTTGTTCAGGAAAATGGTTAAATATTCCCTAAATTACATACTTTATTTATTTAAACAAATTAGCAAGATACAAGTCACATGATTTGGTTTTTTGCAGATACGTAAAGAAGGGCGAGGTAAATACAGTACAGATCAGCTGTGTGTTCTCGACAATGTGAAGATGAATTTGAGAAGGTTTGTTGCTTATCAAGAAACTGTTGAGAAAAGACTGACTTCTTGAACCATCAAAAGAGCAATCAATTTTTTCCCAAAGTATTTGATGCTAAGAATACTAAAGGATTTCTTTGGACTGTATACATATCTGAAAGTTATTTTTAAATGCTTGTATTCTGTACATCTATTTGAAGTTCATAAAAACTGTGTTCATAAAAACATCGTGCGCCCAGCACATTTAACCACTGGAAACACAAAGGGTGGAAGGGTGAAAATGCAAAGGAATCTCAGGAGGTTCTTAACTAATTCGAGAACAGCAAAAAAAACTTCAAATAATCATGTTTTTCTTGAATTTTGCCCCAAAAAAAGGAAATCCAAAGCATTGCTTGGATGCTCTTTTAAGGTAGTATCATTTTATATCAGCTGAATCTTTAACTGAAATATGAAGACAAGCTTTATAAAATAATTTTTTGGTATGAAGTATACCAATTATGTTTACCTTTTGTGAAGAGGTGAATGAGTTGAATTTGTATTTCACTACGTAGTAGATTATACTAATGAGCTAATGAGGTAATTGCCATCCTTTATACCAGTAGATCTGATCAGTTATTGTATCACTCCTTGATTTAATTTGATATGGAATCAGAATTAGGAGAAAATATTTTTGAATAAATAACTTTTTGATTTAAAGCCTTGTGTCTTACAAAATCTTTTTTAAGATACTAAATAAACCTATTCCTGGATGTTTCCTTGCTAATGAATATTGATTTGAATGTATGTGAGATTTTAAAAAATGCAGGATATTCCAGCATTACCTTTCAATGTCCTTGAAGTAATAGGATGAAAGCACGTCATTATCTCAGAGGGGCCCTGAGGGGCTCCATTGTGCATCCATTTACCCAGAGAGTTGTCGATGGAGATTCACAAATTTCTGCACAGTTGATCTCAGTTGCCCTGATAAAGACCCAATACCCAGTATAGCACTTGTTTTTTACTCACTATTTTCTGCACAGTTTTTATACCTCTATGTTATAAACTGTTGGGAAACCAAGATTGTTTCCGAGCCCTAAGAGTCGCTGAGCCCATGAGACCAAGTAAAATGACCAGATTCTGTACATGGTGGGAAAATGGAAATGGTATACCATAAACTAAATTTTGCTTTGTTCTCCTTGATCATGGATTTTACGTTGTGTACATGTGTATGTTTAGTGATCATTTCAGCTAAATGATTGACACAAGCATGTGTTTTTTGAGAGATTCTTCCAATAAAGAAAAGTTTCAGAGTTCTCTCTGCCTCAAATATCTATAGAATATAATTATTTTCAAGGAGAAGAAAGTTTCCAATCCCATTTTTTTCCATACTTTCCAACCTATAGACTATATGCAGACTATCTGGCACAGGACCTAGTATATAATAGGCTCTTGATAAATATTTGTTGAATGCATAAATGTTATCGATTTTCTGTTTGGCAGCTGTTGAATTGCAGAATCATCCTGCAGAACAACAGAAGGTGAGTTGTTATCTATACACTGAAATTGTGCCATCCTAAAATTTTTTTAGATTCTGAGGCATGGATAGTTTGATCCATCTTGCTACCATTCAATTTTGTTATTCTAACAACAGGGAAAAAGGGAAAACAAATTTTAAATACACACTACAGTTTACCTATTGACATACGAGCTTAGTAAAGCACGTGAGTAGTAGTCATGGCCCTGTATAATAGAGACTGTAGTGTTTTCCTTCATGACCATAGGAAAAAAGCAGTCAGCTTTAAAATACGTTTATTTGAAAATCATCCATAATCGTCCATTAAAAATATACACTACTTTAAGTGTTGGAGTATGACCTCATATGAGATCCTTTGTTTTAGAAGATATTATTAAGTGTTTAGTCATAGCATGTTTGCCCAAGGAAATAAAAATCGCTACTTTTCTTTTTTTTTTGCCTTTAAAATGGAAACGCATGTTATTTATTCTTTTTTTTTTTTTATTGCTTCATACCCACTCTGAGGAAACATTTTATTTTAAAAGAATTGATTTTGAAATATCAGACATTTAATTACACTTATTCTTTGCAGGTTTGTCTTTTGCCTTTATTTAGTCTTTCAAAGACATACCTTTGAGTTACCAAGATAGGGAAAGATCTCTTCAGGGCCCCTGTTTACCCAGCTATGTTGTAGGCTTGCTTCCTGCCATTTTGAAATTGCATGGACCAAGACTTGATTATATTTAAGCTATGTATAGAATACAAGCAATTTAAAAAAAAACTGTCTTCACTGTATCCAGAAATTCTATAGTAAAGATATAGTATTTTGAAACATTCACTTTTGGCCAGGTGCAGTGGCTCAAGCCTGTAATCCTAGCACTCTGGGAGGCCAAGGCGGGAGGATTGCTTGAGGTCAGGAGTTTGAGACCAACCTGAGCAAGAGTAGGACCCCATCTCTACTAAACACAGAAAAATTAGCCGGGCATTGCGGCATGCACCTGCAGTCCCAGCTACTGGGGAGGCTGAGGCAGGAGGATCGCTTGAGCCCAGGAGTTTGCTGTGAACTATGATGATGCCACTGCACTCTAGCCAGGGTGACAGAGCGAGACTGTCTCAAAAAAAAATCTAGTATTGGCCGGGCGCGGTGACTCACACCTGTAATCCTAGCACTTTGGGAGGCCAAGATGGGAGGATCGCTTGAGGCCAGGAGTTTGAGACCAGCCTGATCAAGAGCGAGACCCCATCTGTACAAAAAACATAAAAAATTAGGCAGGTATGGTGGCACACACCTGCAGTCCCAGCTACTGGAAAGGCTGAGGCAGGAGGACTGCTTGGGCCTAGGAGTCTGAGGTTGCAGTGAGCTACGATGACGCCACTGCACTCTAGCCCAGGCGACAGAGCAAGACATAGTCTCAAAAAAAACCACAAAAAACAAGACTGTTTCAGTAGTGGGATGGGACAACATAAAAACAAAATTGAAATATGTGTCTATTTACAAGTTTACCATTCTCCTCTAAGTCCCAATTTTAAAATTATATAATTTTGAGAAATGCAAATATTTATATTTTTAGATTTCAGATTAAACATTTGCTTCTAAATCTTTGTCGAAATAATAGAAATTTACTTGGAAGGCTGAGCTGGGAGTGTCGCTTGAGTCCAGAAGTT